GTGTTATTGCTATTAGGTAAGTTCGCCACCTTGAGTTACTTACAAAGCAATAACGGTAAAAGAAAAACCTAATAAAGAAAGAAACCAGGAAATAAAATCCGACACAGGAAAATATCCTCGGGAATAACTCAGATTCAAGCCATATAGGGCTTTTTCAAAGCGATGATGGCTTTCTGCGACCAAGCTGGAAGGTAACTACGATTCCCAAGAGGGCACTTATCTCCTTCCAGAATGGGCTAATCCAAATAAAATCTGTGCGGGTCATGCCAAGGTCCCACCTCCCATTGTGACCGCCGACGACTTACAGTAAAGGAAGCCTCTCAGAATGTAGTAAACCGAGAGAAAAAATAGAAAGTGATTAACCCAGCAATAAAAGACCGACTGTTGCGAAACGGAAATAAGATTCTAGACGTGAGATTTTTAAGGAAATGATTCACAGGGATATTTTTCAACTGCTCGCAGAGGTTTCATAGACTCCGTTCAAGTTGACTTTTGCTGCAAGGGGCGGTCAGCCGAAACAGAGTTTGGGAGTTAGCCATAAGCACCCAACATCGACCTTCCTTGACAAAGCAGAACAACACAAGGCCAAATCCCCCCCACAATTTTTAAATTTTTTTAAATTTTTATACATTGATCCTTGATACGCAGAAGAGTGGAGGAAAATTCTTTAAACAATCATGCAGCAGCAGATCCTGCTTAGTTTATTAACTATGGTACATCATTGGAATTGGGATATGGCCAGTCTAGAGAAAAGAAGGACAAGAGGTGACCTGTTAGCAGTCTTCCAATATTGGAGGGGCTGCCCCAAAGAAGAAGGGGGTCAATTTATTCTCCAAAGCCCCTGAGGGCAGGACAAGAAGCAATGGATGCAAACTCATCAAGGAGAGAAGCAACCAAAAACTAAGGAGAAATTTCCTGATAAGAAGAACAATTAATCCGTGGAATGGGTTGCCTTCAGAAGTTGTAGATACTCCAATACTGGAGGCTTTTCAGAAGAGATTGAACTGGAAAGCAGGATAGTGGGGTGGGGAGGGAAATGGGGATTTTGCAGTATCCATCCCCTTGCACGTCCACCAAACTATGCCCACCACGCCACACCATGCCATGGCCACCAAGCCATGCCCACAGCTGATCGGCTGGGTCTTCTTTGGTTGCCCTGCAGAGGGGAACGGAGCTGGAAAGCAGGTCAGTGGGGTGGGGAGGGAATGGGGATTTTACAGTATCTTTCCCCTGTCATGCCCAGCCACGCCCACCAAGCCATGCCACGCCCACCAAGCCACGCCACGCCCACCAAGCCACACCCACAGAACCGGTAGTAAGCAAAATTGAATACCACCACTAATTAGAGTGATATTTATACTGTAACACTTTTGATACCTAGAAAACACACTGTTCAATATAGAAATGGAATTTGCGATATAAAAATAATTTTAAAAAATTATTTCAAGACCAGCCTTTTCCCACCCTTTGGCCCTAAGAGATTTCAAATCTGGAACGCTCACAAAGCAATTTGGTGCCCTGTCCAATGATGACCCTCTCCTAAAGTCTATGTTATTTCCAAAAAAAAAGCAGATGCTTGTTGCTACAGCCAGGTCTTAGCTAACACAACACCCTTTCCCTGTGACCCCCATCTGGGAGAAAGTACCAGGCCAAAATCAACCTATTTTGGGCCATGCATCTCCACCACTTCCTCCTCCTCCTCCTCTCGTTCATTCAAGGGGACATTTAGGCGTTCTTCCCATCTGTTTCAGCAATGTTCTCAAGCTTTCACCTGGAAGAAGAGGATTCAGACAAGCTTCTATCCTGATTCCCTGGGGGAGATCCCCATTAATCTGAACGCCTGGTGTCTGCAGAAGAAAACGCCACCCGGCTCGCTTTGGAACGACAGGTCGGGGAGGAAGAAGAGTCGCAGATGATGTGGGAGGAAAGGCCACTGCTCCGAATGTTAAAAACAGAACCAGGCAGGCCAAACAGCTGCAGGAATGCAGAGCGGAGAGCGTATTTCTCCAGATGTGACTTCCAGCTGCCTTCTTCGTCGCCACCCGCCATAGATCTGTCCCTCCGCCTTCACAAAAGCATCCTTCCTGGAGGTGGGATTCAGCCGGTTCTGACCGGTTCTTCAGAACCGGTAGCAAAATTTTGAGTCATTCAGAGAATTGGCAAATCCCACCTCTGACTGGCTCTGCCCCCATCTCTTCTCTGCCTCCCATTGTGTCCCAGCTGGTTGGCTGGGTCTCCTTTGGTTGCCCTGCACAGGAGAACGGAGCAGGAAAGCAGGTTAGCGGGGTGGGAAGGGAGATTTTGCAGTATCCTTCCCCTGCCACGCCCACCAAGCCGCACCCACAGAACTAGTAGTAAAAAAAATTGAATCCCACCACTGGCTAGAAGCAAGACACATGAGAACTTTGCATACAAATTAATAAAAATAAAGCCATCAGCAGTTTTCGTAGTGCGTTGTCAAAAAGGAGAACCCTTAATATTTTAATATAAATAAATGTGAAGAGTGAAATAGGAGAATGATGGAAAAATTATGAATAAGCATTAATTGGAAAATGAGAGCTTGAATGATGGTATTATTAAACATGGATAAAAATATGATTAGCAGTGAAATGATAAAGTGAAACAATGGATGATAAGAAAATGAAAAAATATATATTTGAATGTAAACATATGTATTAACAATACAACGACACAAGTTCTCACCAGGACTATTTCTGACCTCCACACTAAAAAGTTTTAGCCGCGTGTTTGGAGTTTGTGACAGTGGGTAGGTATCTCCAAATACATTTTTGCTTTGCTTTTTTTAAAAAAAAAATATTCTAAAAATACAAAACATGGTCTTGAATACAGTGACACCAGCTGGCAAGGAGTAAAATGGTCACTCTCTGCTGACCAGAAGTCACCCTTACTAAATATGGTTGTTAAGTGAATCTGGTTTCCCCTTTGATTTTTCTGGTCAGAAGGACACAAAAGGAGATCCTGGGACCGCAGGGACACTTGCAGCCGTCATAAGTATGAGTTAGTTGCCAACTGTCCGAATGTTGATCGCGTGATGCATGGGGGAGGCTCAGTGGTGGGATTCAAACTTTTTTTTACTACCAGTTCTGTGGGCGTGGTTTGGTGGGTGTGGCTTGGCTTGGTGGGCGTGGTGTTCTGTGGGTGTGGCTTGGTGGGTGTGGCAGGGGAAGGATACCGCAAAATCCCCCTTCCCTCCCCACCCCACTAACCTGCTTTCCAGCTCCGTTCTCCTGTGCAGGGCAACCAAAGAAGACCCAGCCAATCAGCTGGGACTCGATGGGAGGTGGAGAAGAGATGCAGGCGGGGCCAGTCAGAGGTGGGATTGGCCGGGTCTCCGAACGACTCAAAATTTCCGCTACCGGTTCTCCAGGACTGGTGAGAACCGGCTGAATACCACCTCTGGGAAGGCTGCAATGGTTGGGTGGAAAAGGGTCATAAGAAGGGATGGGATTCGCGGCCCGGTTCCTGGGTAGGCGGGGTCATGGTGGGCGGGGCCTATTAGAACTTGTTTCCGGCTTCTGGCGGACCTCCAGAGCCTGGGGGAGTCCGTTTTCACCCTCCCAAGGGTCCAGAGGCCTCCCCCAGGCCTCTGGCAGGGCGAAAACAGACTCCCCCGCTGGCCTCTGGAGGCTCACCGGAAGCTGGTAACAGGCCTGTTTCGGGACTTCCAGAAGGCCTGTTTTTTCCCCTCCCAGAGCCTCCACGCGGACCCTGCACTTACCTACATCGAAAATGGGCTGCATAGCGACTCCTAGGAGGGGAAGGGAGGGAGGGGAGGGGCCAGTTGTTTGGTGAACCAGCTGTAACTTTAACATCCGGTTCACCCAAACCGGTAGAATCCCATCCCTGGTCATAAGACCCTTTTTTCCGTTGCCATTGTAACTTTGAACAGTCGGTAAATAAACTGTTGTCAATCAAGGACGACCTCTACAATATTCCCTTCCTTCCCAAGACACAGGCATCTTTCTAAACATATGCTAAGATTGTTATAATAATTAGATAGTAAGAATAGAATATTAATATTATAGCAATGAATTAAGTGTAATTGCCATTGCACAAGATACTTGTACCCAGGCGACACGCTTGTTTAAACGGAAGATGGATTGTTTGTACAAGATAAAATGAAAAATTTAAAAATGAGACATCTTTCTAAAACATGACAAATCCGGAATTACTAAATGCTTAAAATATTCTATTACTGCCCGTCTCTGTTGTGCATGGGGGCAGCTGAGACGCCTATCGCAACAGATCTCTCCAGCTGTTGTAGCCCATTCAAAGGCCACCTTTGTTTCTGGAAACCTTAGAAACGGTTACTTTTTTGTAAGGATGAGACTTAACCAGCTGTTTCACACAATGCAAAGCAGTTTGGGTCCAAAAAAAAAAAAGGAAGGCAACCATGTTCTTCCAAAATACTGTAAATCCACTAACACGAACCAGAAGCTGGATTGACTGGATTAATGTAAAAACGCATTGCCCTTTAAAATAATCATAATAATAATAAAGCATGATTTTTTTTAGAGCGCTTTGGACAGGTGAAAAGAATTGAGAGGTGAAGCATAGGATCAAATGTTCATTGCAGAGAGAAAATATTGTTGGGGCAAGAGTTTTGATGCAATCTATGTTTTGGCTGAAAGCCGATCTGGATATTTAATACCCATCATCAGTCTTAGAAGGGAGTGGGGTTTGCAGGGAGGAGGAGGAGGAGGAGGAGGAGGAGGAGGAGGAGGAGGAGGAG